ATTCAAAAGGAATACTAATATTGATCTGGGTTTAAAGTATTCAAAAGAGGGAGCCCATCCAGATTCTTCCTATGCCTGTCTGCATATTGACTCCTGTTCTTTGCTGTAGGGTTGATCTCTATCCTGCTCCATCGGCAAGCGGTCAGTGTGGATGTGATTAAGGCTTACACCCACGGCCTTCTTCTAGAGGTCTTGCTGTATCAAGATATGGAAACCTGTACCTTGGAAAGAAGGTCCCTCCTGAATCTGCAACATCTGTTATGTAAAGGTGATGACCTGGGAAGTGAATGTGGAGGAAGAAACAAATTGTGATGGGGGGAGGGAGGGAGGGAGGGGGAGCAATCTAGAGGACTCGTCATAACTTGGTGAGACTGGAAATTCACATGGCAGGTTCCTTTTCTGGCATGTCTCATTAGAAGGAATTGAGAAGGACTTTGTGGTCTGATTGTCTATTAGGGTGGGTAGCCCTTTTATTCCAGCACATTACATGTAGTCCTCGACATACGACTATAATGGAGCCCGGAGTTTTCTGCAGTGCTGTGTAATAGAATAATAGAATAGAATAATTTTATTTAATGTACACTAATCAGCGTACATTAAAATGAAATTTTGTTACATACAGCTCTCAAAGGGTCACCACCGCTAATATACATTACATAAATATGATAATAAATGAATACTAAATTATGCACATACCCACATACATTATATGACACAGAAAAACAACAGTTTAGTAGGCTAGATCATATAGTTAACTGTGTTAGAGAATCAGAACATGTCGCTTTATTGCTCGGCCATGTGGTATGATTTCATGTTCCCAGCTATTAGAATTTCCTGTGGCTGTTGGGAACATGGTGGCCACTTCCTGAATCACGCCACAAGGCACACGACGAAGCCATCTGTTCCAGCATTGCAGAAAGCACCAGAGCTCTTCAAAAGATAAGTGAGGAGATGAAGCGTGTTTGGCCTGATGAGGAGGGAATCAGGCCTAAGTCCTGCTTAGTGACGGAGGAGAAGGCATGCAGGGATGGGGGGAATGGGGGAAGACAGGCAAGAGGTTCTGCAGTGTCCCTGTGGTTGGTTGTAAAGGTGAGTGATTGCAGGGGTGCTAGAGTGGCCATTACTTTGGGATTGGCTCATCGGTGGCTTTTGGGGGATTTAGTCTAGTGCATTACAGGTAGTCCTCAACAAACAACCGTAATGGAGCCTGAAACTTTTTGGGGGGGAGGTCTGCTGTAACTTTGAATGGCCGTTCAACAACCACCACCTGTATCTAATGGTAGATGCACAGTATGGCCCACTGTAGGTTATCCTCATATTTCCCTACAGTCTTCTGCCAGTGAGATGTTTCACCTGCCTTCCTCAGATCTAATCAGTTGAGAAGAGGCAAATGAAACCAGGATGTTTGCACCACTTTCCTCAGGTCAATTATATTCCCTGCAACCAACACAACCTTTTCAAGGTCTATGGAAGAACTGAAGAGATTTGGAGATGGAGGTGGCCGTCTACATCAGGCTACCCCAGAAGCTTTGGGGCAGGTAGAAAAGGGAGGTTGGTCATCATAGGCAATACTTGGTAAGGTGGATGATTGGAACAGATAGTCCTCGACTTACAGCCATCCATTTAGGTTTGAACTTACAATGGCACTGAAAAAAGTGACGTATGACTGTTTTTCACACAACCATTGCAACATGCCCATGGTCACATAATCAAAATTTGGATGCTTGGCTACTGACTCATATTTATGATGATGGCAGCGTCCTGGGATCATGGGATCATTTTTTGAGACCTTCTGACAAGCAAAGTCAACGGGGAAGCCAAATTCATTTAACAACTATGGTGATTTGCTTAACAACTGTAGCAAGAAAGGTCGTAAAATGAGGCAAAACTCACTTAACGACTGTCTCACTTAGCAATACAAATGTTGGGCTAAATTGTGGCCATAAGTTGAGGACTAGCCTAATAAATCTGCTTATGTTCTCATTCTCTTTCCTTCAGCGTTTGGCAACCCAACGTGTACCTTATATGTGGATTAATTTCCTTTGCATTTCTACTTCCGGGGACTCAAGGAGAATAACTTTGCTTCTCTTTCATTTACAGAGGGTTCTCCCCGCTCTTTCTCTCCTTTGTGCCTGGTATAAATCTGCTATGCCGGCTCTTCCTCATGTCCTGTCTTCCTTTTTCTGCTTTTCAGAATCCAGTAAAGAGGATCCCAGGATACATTCCGAAATGCATCAGTTCTTAGACAGGATATTTCCAAAATTCCTGGCAGGTGTGTGGTGAAGGTTTAGAAATTAAGTTTTAGCTTAAATCCTGGATTCAGCAGCAAGAAAACTCAAATCTGACTTTTCAAAAGATTCTGTCCGTGAAGCTTATCTACACCTTTAAAACCTTTTTGGATGTTAAGTTGTACAATTCAATTGCGCTTGGCATTGTATTGATGGCCAGTGACCACACATAGGGGAGGGAAGGGGGCTGAGGGTCTCAAGAGGATAGGGTCATATTCATGTGGATGGAACCATGATTGGTGGGAATTTTTGGGGGGGAGGGCATTTGCTCTTTAATTGTGATAATGCCTGTTTTGTAGCTTTAATGCAGTGATGGCGAACCTTTTCAGCACTGAGTGCCCAAAGCATGTGTGTGCGCACGTACTCAAATGCAACATGTGCATACCCCTGGTGCATGTGCCCCTCCACATTTGTGCATGCTCCCATGCATGTGCCCTACCCCTGCGCATGCACGACAGACCCAAAGATCAGCTGACCGGGTGGGAGGTGCACACACATGCGCAGTGGAGCCGAGCTGGGGTGACGGCGCGCATGCCCACAGAGAGGGCTCTGTGTGCCACCTGTGGCACGCATGCCATAGGTTCGCCACCAGGGCTCTAATGTGCCTTCCACCTCAAAATAGCCGGAAACGATGCCATCAGCTTTTAGCAGGTGATCAGAATAGCCTCCAGGAGCCACAAAAAGTATCTTACATAACCTCTGAGGTCACACTGCCAACCCTACCCTCTCCTGTTGACTAAAAGGGGAAGATTTAGATCAGTTTTTCTCAGCCGTGGCCACTTGAAGTTGTGTGGACTTCAACCTCCCTACTTCCCCAGCCATCACGGAATTCTGGGAGTTAAAGTCCACAAGATTTCAAGTGGTCAAGGTTGAGAAACACTGATTAATGCAGCCCTAAAGAACATCAAGAGATTCTAGGGTCCTTTGAAGATGTGACATCATCCTTATTTGAAGCTTTTCCCAGCACTCTGGAAGTGCTTCTGAGTGTCAGTCACAGCTTTGTCCAGTTTTTTCTTTTCATTATACCAGATGCAAACAGTCCTCACTTACTCACTCTTTGTTTAATGACTGCTTAAAGTGATGACGGTGCTGAACAAGGAGACTTATGATGGGTCCTTGAAGTTGCAGGCATCATTGCGTCCTGGGTTCATGCAAATGTCATTTGCAACCTGCGCTGCTGGCTTCTGACAAAGTCATAGGAGAAGCTGGCAAACCACAAGTCACAGTGTGACATTGTACTTAACCAGCCTGTGGTGATTCACTTAATGACCACAGCCAGAAACTATAAACTCCCATTGTACCTAGAATGCACACATAATTTTTCAATTTACAGTCTAATTGCTTAGCCACAGAGTTGTTGGTCCTATTGCAGTGGGTAAGTTAGGACTACTGTAGTTTTGAATTTCTATATCCCTTGTACCTTGACCAGAAAAGTAGAAGCCAAGGTTAGAGTGCAATGTTTATAGATACACTCAATCCTTTCTGTTCACCTTGGGTTCTCCTGTGCTTCCAAGGACTGACAGCTGCCGGATGGGTAACCGATCGGAACCTCCTGGGCCCTGAGGAGTGGCGGATGGAATGGCTCGGCGCTGAGAAGAAAATGCTCTGATTCCGATTCTGGGAGAATTTTTATATCAATAACCTGATTTATTCAATCCTAGAAAAGGGGGGATCCTGGTTTCCTTGGGGTTGTCTTTTAAAAAGGCAACGGTAGATTTGGATTTGCCTTGCCTCACTTTACCTCTCTTTAATTGTAAAATAATGATGAGGTGCACAACATAAGACCTAACTTCTTTCCAATTAAATTTTTTTAAATGTGATGAAGTGTTTACGTATTTTGCCTTCGGGAATGAAGCTAATATATATTTTCAGAGCAGTACTGTGAGATTTAATAGATGTGTGCTTAATTGTACAGGTAATCCTCATTTAGTGACCACAGTTGGGAGGGACAACCTGGTCATTAATTGAAGTGGCTGTTAAATGAATCGCAATTGTGTGTATGGTCTTACTTCAGCTTTCCTTTGCTTTACAGACCTGCGAAGGTTATAAATGCGAGGTTCAGTTGCAAAGTTATTTTTGCATCACTATCATAACTGTGAATGGTCATTGTCTGAGGCAGTCGCTACACGAAGACTACCAGGGTATGCCTTGTTCAGTATGGGGTATCCCTCTCTTTGCTTACATAGATTTTTAACTCACAAATTTGATTTTTTAACCTTAAAGAGAAATATGTCAATTTTCTTTTACATCTGTTCCCTTGTCTTCTCCTGTGCAGTATACACAGATGCTGTGACTAGTTTGTCTCCCCCCCCCCCCGCCCCCCGGTCTTCTGAATGTAGGGTTTATTTTCTTGTTTTTGTCTCTCGTTTCCAAAGATCTGGAAGGGATGGGATGGAATACAAAGCATTGTGGAAGAACAGAATAAGTGGGTGCCCCTTCTCGTGGCTAGTGAGGAATAAAAGGGCATCTGGTGACTTACATGTATTGAAATCCTGGAATAAATTCAACAGCTCTTTATGGAGGAGGAGAACATGAGAGGTGCATAAGGTTGGGGAGCATAAATATTTGTGAAGAACATTGAGGCAAACACACCATGATAAACATGTAATCTGGAGAATTATATATAATCATAATTTGAGGTACCGTATTTGCCGGCGTATAAGACGACTTTTTTGCCCTGAAAAACATGCCTCCAAGTGGGGGGGTCGTCTTATACGCCGGGAGGACTCCGACTCCCACTTCGAGCTTGAGTTGCAGCCGGGAGGGAGGCTGGGGGGGGGAGCGGGGTGTGTGTGTGTGTGTGTGTGTGCGCGCGTGGCTGTAGGTTAAGGATGGGGGAGTCCCCGGGTGGGTTATCAGGTTTTACGGTGCTTCCAACATGTGCGAACGGTGGGAGAGCGGAGAAGAGAGCGAGCGAGCGCCCCGCTGTGTGAAATCCTGCCGTCAAAGCAACACTGGGGGAGGCAGGGTATAAATTTACCAGGTTAATGTAGCAATGGTGATTAATGCCCAGAACATTGTTTGCGGGTATTGGGGTGTGTGTGTGTGTGTGGTGGTGGTGAGGAGAGGTTGTCCTTTGAATGCGGAAAAGTAGGTGTGACCTTGTGTAGGAAAATAAAGAGATCCTTTTTAGCGTGTTTGGCTTCTTTGCCTCCCCTCGTTCGTTTTGACGTGGAGATAATGGCCTTCGGGCGGGAGGGGAAGAAAACGGTAGCTGGATCATTTCAAATTTCACTTACTCTCCTGCCTCACTTCAATATGTCTGAGCGACTCCAGATACTGGAAGACTTTTTGAATGAAAGTGTTACCTCCATATTTTTTTTTAAAGAGGGCCACTTGGGGAAAAAAAAAGATTCTAAGGAATTCCTTGTTTCTTGATTAAAGAGAAGGCATTGAATATACTGTTCCTTGGCAGCCTTTTCAGTGTCCGGGTTTTTGGTTGTGTGTGTGAGAGAGAGAGAGAGAGAGAGAGAGAGAGAGATCAGCTGTATTGAGAAGAGAACGTTTCCTGTGTTCTCATTTTATTTACAACATATTTTACGCTTAATGGTAAGCAATGAAAAATATTTTTAAAACTCATTTCTAAACTCCATAGCTATTTGCATATTCTTGGTTCAAAATTGGATTAGCTCATTTCAAAATTGTCCAAAGCAGAAAAGTGCGTCAAAAAAAAAAAAAGTGCAAAAGTGGAAGGTGTGTGGAAGAGGGGGTAGTCTTATACGGCGAGTATATAACAAACTCTATATTTTGAGTGGAAATGTTGGGGGGTCGTCTTATACGCCCAGTCGTCTTATACGCCGGCAAATACGGTAGTTTAAATTAGGAGTCCCCAACTCCTAGTCCGTGGACTAGTCCTGGGCTGTGGCATGCCGAAACTGGGCTGTGCACTAAAGTGAAGCCCCATCCGCAGCATGGAGGCAGCATGCGAAGCCACACCTCTCCGATCCATGGAAAACCTGTCTCCACGGAACTGTCCTAATGCCCAAATGGGCCCACTGGTTTAGGTGACCAGTTGTGAAATTACAACAAGTAAGAAAATGTTTGTAGGAGAAGTAATAGCAAAGGCTGAGGGGTAGAGTCAAAAGAGGAATCAGCTTAGAGTCATTACATAGCCACAAACTCCTCTTGAATTCCATTGACCCTTATCTAGAACCAAAATAGTGCTATTTTGTTAGTTGACTAGATTCCCATGCCTAGGCACAAGCAATAAATCAGTTTAATTGGAACTTAGCATGTGGCTTTGGTGTTTCCTGCCTGACATGGTTTCTAAGACTCTGAAAATTGAACATTCCAAATAATCTGGACACTTAAGAAGAATAAGTTTCTCTCTAACTCCCAACTGTCAACAGTTTTGAGTGGCTTTTCTTTTTCATGATGTAATATAACTTGAAATGGTCTTCCAAAGAGTTAGTTGAGATGAGTTTTGATGAACGTTGACTTGGATGACATAGTTATATCTTCAGTGATTTG